ACTTGCACGAGAACTGACACTCGCTCAGTGGAATTCACCGGCATTCACCAACGTCCGCCTTCATAATTTGGACCCACACCTACAGCTCCGTCTTCCATCAGGAATAACCAGAGCTGAGGAGACACTTTTGTGCCGTCTGTGGATTGGGGTGGCCTTTACGTTTCGAATCGGCATGGCCAGCAGCCCGACATGTGACAACTGTGGCTGCGCAAAGACTTTCTCCCATCTTCTCTGCGAGTGTCCTCGCTTCAGTGTGCCAAGAAAATAACTGTCCAAAATTTTAGATAGACTAGACAATCGCCAATTGTCGGCAGAAAGGGTATTAGGACGCTGGCCGAGACCGTCCTCTGCGCGCAAGGCATTGAGAGCGTTGTTGCGCTTTCTGCGGGCAAGTGGTCTTAGAGACAGACTTTAAGCAGCGTCGTGGTCGTCTGATGACCTTCTTTTTTTTTCTCCTTCAACGTCTCTTTTCTCCCATCTTTTATCCCCCTTACCCCCTTCCCCAGTACAGGGTAGCCAGCCGGTCCGAGAACTAGCTAACCTCCCTGTCCTTCCTCTTTCAATCCTCCTCCTCCTCCTCCTCCTCAACAGAAATTCTTTTCGCATAAGCCAGCGTTAAGGGGGGGGCGGTGCTGTTTTCAAAGTGATAGCGTTAAATAGCTCGTTTTCCAGTCATTCCGCGGTCGGCGTCGTTGATTATAAGCAATAACGACCATCGTCTGGAGCGTGACCGAAAAATATAGAAAGACTAAAATAGAATAAATAAGGAAAAAAACCATGTGTTCTACCACGTAGCCACGCGTCTGCTTCGATATACAGTTAAAATAAGTTAATTGACTTGGAAATGTAGTGAAAATGACTTCCATGCTTTAGAAACAAACAGGCGCTTTATAGTAGAAATTGCAATACCGAAGTATTATTACATCTTCAAGCGTACATGCATATCGGGCGTCACAACATGTGACTATAACAACCACTTTATTGTTTAAAACCAGCCACCCATTACAAAAGGCGCTCACGTTACTGCGCGTATTCTCTTAACAACACGTCGTGCGTGCATAGAGAGTTCGAAAAAAATTCACGTGCTAATTACCCGTGGTTTAATACATGCTACCTATTAAACTGAATGTAGCCATGTGCGAAAGCTTCACTCACACAAACCACTTTCAACTTTATCGATTGCATATTGGTAATCCACAATTTAAATTTGTCGAGTAACATCATACAATCAAAAGTATGCTCGAAGTGGTTGAAGTTCGATTGAGAGACAAGAAAATTCTCTGTTCCGGTAATTTTTCCCTGCAAACGTTGACGAAATTACCAGCTGAATTCCCTGCACAACAGCACTGATTTCCGCCACCATTCACGCACACGCAAACTATAATTACACGTGTCTCGCGTAAGGGGCAGGATATCGCTATCATGTTCAACTCTTTAGGCGAAGGTTAAAGCTTAAAGACACCCAGTTTTGCGACGTTAGAAACCATCGTACACAAGAATATTGGAGGGGGTGCGCGTTAAAGCACCCCAGGTGGTCCAAGTTTCCGGACCCCTTCACTACGGTGTCTCTCATATTCAGGTGGTGGTCTTGGGACGTTAAACCCCGCATATCAATCAAATCAAATCAAGTATATTGGAGACCATTTGAGCGTCACCTAAAGAGTAGAATGCGATAGTTTACTTGGGCTCTCCATTCTTGGGAGACACCTCAAGAATGACGTGAAGAAACGAACGTTTCTGTGTGTAACGTTGCCCATGTCAAACTATTCTGAGATGCCATCTTTAAAAAATGTTGGGAAGTGCCCAATGCACGTCTGTAAGGTGCCACGCGCACCGTAAAAACCGTACACACCGTTAGTTTTGTTGCTGATAATGATGATGAAATATGCCCGAAGCGTTTTATAATGAGTGGACATTTCAAACACCCACTTTTTACTGAAATCGCACGTCTTGGTGTGGGGTGGAAAAAAGACTGCAATGGTTAAAGAAAAACCGAGAAAACAATCAATTTCGATTTATTGGTGCTATAATTTGTTCTAGGGTAGACACTATCGGCAGTAATATTTTAACGTGGTAGCGTCAAAGGGGTCGTTTCACAAAAATTCCGGCGTCGGCGTAGTTGGTTCTGAGCTAAAAAGTCATCTTATGCGTGACCAGAAAATTGTGAACGACGCAAATAAAATATGTAATAAAATATCCTGGGTCAGAAAGTGGACCGAAACTGGGTCGTTCGGCTCCGAGTAGGGTTCGAACCCGGGTCGTTTCCGTGGCAGTGCATGTTTTTCCACTCGGCCATGCGTCTGCTTGTATATACAGTGAAAAAAAATTCGTCTCACGAACTTGCAGTGAAAGTAGCTTTCATGCTCTACAAACGCACGCGTCCTTCATACATGCTTCACAACACAGCATGAAGTATTGCACTTATAATGCGTTGTGCAAGTGCCCACTGCCAGAAGGCGTCAGAACATGAGACTCTCATAATGGCTTCGTGGTTTAAAGCCGGTCACTCACTACAAAAGCTACACACGCTGCTGCACCTACTCGCTTATGGCCACGTAGCGGGTGCATTGCAAGTTCGAAAAGGTTTCGTTGATTAAGTCTTTAAAGTATACGCACTAGAAATCAGATGTCGCTCTCGCGTTCAACTGCTAAAGGCGAATTTTCACGGTTCCTTAATTTTTTCTTTCGAATGTTAGGAAAAATTACAGTAGAAACGAATCGAAAAAAAAAGTAAGTTCCACAACTCGGCTGATCATTTCACGTCTTTTTCAACACAAATCTTCGAAATATAAAATTGATGACTATAGAAACGAACTATCACCTATATTAAAAGGGCTAAACGTTATCTGCACTTTTTTCATAAATAACTCAAGCTAACCGAAGTATGATGAATATCTGGGTGACCACCTATATGTACTCACAGACTTTACAAAGACCTACTGAGTACACACTCAATTAATTAAGCACGATCATTCAACGACATTGCTTTGAGTGTCACATTTGATAAAACATTTTTGACAATTAGGACAGAGTTTATTATGCCCCTCGCTTACAAATGCGGGCGATAGACGTTAGATATATCTTCAAGCATTGATCTTGCACAGTATAGTGAGACTTTATCTCGATATTACGCTATATTTGAAAGGCCGACATTCACACATTCACTTGAGCACATGTATTCTATTTTATTGTTTGTTTGCTCCGATTTTCGTCACCCTGTAGTCGCCTGTTGCATAGTGGGTTCCTTTTTTTTGTTAGACACAATATTAATCCTAACTATCTGACCACAGTACCAAACAAAGTATAGATAATGTCACTAGTAGTAATAGCAGTGTAAACGTGAAGAAAGAAAAGTGGACAAAAATATAACTTGCCGCTGGCAGGGACCTAACCCTACGACCTTCGAGTAACGCATCCAATGCTATCCGTTACTTCATTGCAGTTTAGTCTGGTAGTTTTGATTAATAGCATGTGAAAAACCACGCATCATACATGTCGCCTCACTTGTAAGCTCTGAATGTCGCCCCAAATCTCGTCACAGAAATATCACTAATGAGATTTGTAATCACCGCATATACCAGATTTTGTGCTTGACGTTTCATTTAACGCAGTGTTGCAGTAATATAAACAACGATTCAATGCAGAGTTGGACCCGAACCCCTGAGGTCGGGAAGGTCAAATGAAGAAAAAAATCATGAAAACCAACATGGAAAAGGCAACAAAGAAAGCAAAAAGTTAGGTGACCCTTAAGCTTCGCCTCTAAGAGTTGAACGCGATAGCGAAATCCGGCTCCTAGTGTGCCGCTAAACCACTCAGTGCATATTTATAAATGTTTTGTTACATACACGCGCACACACGCACGCACACACACACGCGCGCACCCAGTTGATTGTACGAGCGCGCGCACGCGAGTGGTACATACAGGTTTTTGATCTAAAGCAAGAGTCGCATAGCCTCCAAAATACACGCCATGCGCTCGCCATCTCGGAGGCCATCAAGAGTCTCACAATGCCTCACAGATGGCAGCACATTATTTAGTGTTTGCTGCTGGCGATGGTTGCACTATCCCGGCCTTTTTTGACGTAGTTTGACGCCTCCCAAATGCGCCTACAAATCGCCAAATGAGCTAGTTTTCGTCGTGACACCTGTCGAATAAAATGCGTTGAAGGGTCCCTAAAACTTTTTTTTCCAGCAGCGAAGGAATGAATTCACTAGAAGAGGTTAATGCCTCACGAATTGAACGCCGCAAAAATTTTAAGTATCTGTCCAGTGCGAGTGGCGTTAAAAAGGTTTGTCGTATGCTGCAATTGCATTCTATCTTCTCTTGTCCCGGTGAAAGCGCTAAAAGATAAGCGGGGAAGGACGCACGAGCAGACGCACGCAAGGACGGGCGGATGGACGCACGGGCGGCCACACAGACGCACGCATGGACGGACGGAAGCAAGATCGAATGAACGGGCGAATGCTTCGCCCCACCCTCCATCATTCACTCCGTGGATATGCTGCCAATTTTTTTTCTTGTCTTAACTCCGCCCTTATGTATGGGAGCTGATGCAGCAACCCTGTCCTTGTACCAAAGGACAGCTTGGGTTACCACTACATGGCACAGCACCGCTCGGGTTATATAGCAGTTCAATAAAGTAGCAAATAGGCCAAACATGTACCTTGGTAAGATATCGCCGCGCTCCTTTATTAGCAAAGATCACGGGTAGTACTGGTGACGTTGAACTTGCGGCTTGCTACGTTTTAACCTTGAACGGGTCAATTACCTTATATGGTCACCGTTGTTTTTGGTAATGATCTCGTATGTGGCTGTGGCCTTGTGCGTGGCAGTGGACTCTAAGTGGCTAAGAGATAATGAGCACCGTAGGCGGTGCGTCACCATATTATTGAGCAACGTTAGATAACGGCATGGTGTAAAATGCGCCTGCATGCGTAACTGCAGTGATTGTCTGCCCGAATGTCACGCCTTTACCTTTCCATCTCTCCCCTCTTCGCAGAGTCGTGAGGTGGGCACCAAAGTGAAGGAGTCCTAGACTGCGATGTAGCCGATGAATCTGCGGGAACCTTTCTCGTTTTCCTGACCACCGTTACCACCACCACTGTTACCACCATCTCCCACTGGTTCCCGGTTCGAGTCCCGTGCGGAGCACTCGTATTTCCTCTCAGAAAGGGAGGGAAAACAAGTCCGTAGCGGCCAGGCAGCCCACGACAATTCGGGCGTGATCGTCGGTTGTAAAACATTGTGGTTGTTACATTTGATGTTGATGGTTGTGCGAGTACGCAAAACATAGAACCCGTGGCATAGCCTCACATACAACACAAACACCGACATACCTTTGTCGCACGGCAGTGCTTCTGTACTACAAAGCAACACCTTCGTTTGAACGAGATTTGCGATCATACGTTTCTGAAAGCGGTCCTATATTTCAGCATGCTTACAGGCGTCGTTTTGGTCGACAAGAATCCCGATTGAGGAAGAACCACTGTTTATACTTTTTGCTGAGAGCGACAATGAAAGCGTGGGAAATCGTTGAACTCTAGCGGAACTGTACAGGAGTAATGTACTTGCACGATTTCACCACAATATTGTGGAAGTCCTGAACCACGTCACCAAACTCTAGAGGTACGATCTAAGACAGGACATGTTACACTAGACTTAGTTCCTTGACACCAGGCAATACAAATATCGTACAAATAAAGTTTTTGTGCCATGGCGTCAGACAACGCCGAAAAAGGTTTATACTGCGCAGGTGTCGTGCATAAACAATTACCTTAGGATGCAAACTCGCGAGTATCAACCAAATATTTTTCTTCTCGCCTCACCAGGGCCTCTTACTGCATTACCGCACGTACGTTTTCCGGTGCTGATAGAAATATTACTTCATGTACTGCACCTCATTGTAGCATCTACTTTCGCATTATTCAAGAGACACTGAAACCAACTCATCCTACAAAGCTGGTATACGTAAGTAAATCAAGCTTATTTAATGCAAAAAAAAAAGATACGCCAGGCCTGCGCGGAAGGCGCAGCACAGTCACAGTGAAAGCTAGAATAGTGGCCTTTCAGAGCCTTTTCAAAACACTTATTGGGTAACTACTGCAAGGACACTTGCTGGATGCCCGCTAGGAAATTGGAAACATTTGGGTAGTAGGCTGGCATTCGCTATGCTATTTTTTGTCATTCTTCTGAGAAGCGTGGTATCCGCGAAACACTTGAAAGGAATTTCGTGCCAATTGTTCAGTTTCAGTTTCAGTTGTATTAGTTAGAAAGAATGCATTACGTAACATTTGTATACAGATAAGGGTTCTAGAGTATAAATATTGAAAATAGGACTCCCAGTTAAAAACAAATGTAAATTGAAAACCATTGGCAGAAGATTAGCAAGTGGTAATAAGAAACACATACAAGGCAAACAAGCAGCAACGTGCTAGAAGAGTTAAAAAATGAAAGAATACAGTAAAACAAAAGACACAATGTGAAAAATACTATAAAAAGCAATGCTATGGGAATACAAATACGACACACAGAAATAATATAGACTAGGAACCTAGCTCTTCCCTATTTCAGGTATTTCACCTACGAATGGGCCTTGTCAGATCACCCAGTTATGAACGGCTACCCTCAACACCTGTGCAATGCCACGTAAGTGTGTCAGCGAACGTTTTCACACCATGCACCGATCGACTGTCGTCATTGGTTTGCTTGATTAGTGATGATCACAAATAAACGACATGTACTTTCGTCTCACGAAGTTGCCGTGATCGAAAATTTGGACGCGCCTAAATGGAGTGGACACGATAGTAGCCTCCAACAACGAGGCACGAATGCCTATGCAGCTCCCTAGAAGGCTTATCATTAGCGATAAAGACAAACAATATAGAATAAATAAATATTCTGTAATAATATGGATGAAGCACCTCTGCCCTGGACACCACCGACAATTGTGGTTCCCCTGACTAGGTCAAAGGTTGCCAATTCGGTTTCCCAAGACGAGTTAAGGGCGGGTTACGGCACCTTGTCAGGCATTAATTTGCCTTTTCGCCAACCCTGCCCCTTACTTGTGTCTACTGTACTTTGTGTACTGTAATTTGAGTTTGGAGAGCCACCCCTTCGGAGACAAACTGATGAACCATTCTTTATTTGAAGGTGAAACGGCGTCTGCCAGTCGAACCCTGCATGCACAGATAGTTTGCGTGTTTTAGTGTCTGGGTGGAGGCGCTGTACTTTTCTGTCAGCATATTATGCACAAGTCATTGATTTCCGCTTCTTTATTTAATGATCATGGCACGACTCATATTTCTCATCCTTTCTGTTACTGTCACTGCCGTTCCTCCTTCGCTTTGAGCCGTATCGGATGACTCGGTGGTATTTACGAAAGGGGCAATTTCAATTCCCGCGCTGCAGTGTTTGATTGGTGCTGTTTGTGTAATAAAAGTGGGGTGTAGACTTTCTGCTACATAGTTGTTCTCCCGTCTCACTTCTCCGTTTATAAGAAGTTATGCTTCCCCCACGTGATACACAACGCTTCGCAGCTGTGAAAATCTCTATTATGCAATGCGGCGGAAGCGCTAGAAACTATACTCGGTTGCCGTCAACAAGAAGACAGAAAAACAACGCCGCTTAGATTGAGGTCATTGTTCATGCATGTCCCGATTGCGTAGCTTCGGCGAAATACCCCTATATTCCGCAGCATCTTCTTCAGTCGTTACCCACTGCTGTGCGGCGCTGGTTCATTCAACCTATACACATACACAACACACAAAAGACACATAGTGAAAGAGAAAGAAAAAAAATTATTGCTACCCTCTGTCTTGTCAGCGTGACATATCTGTCGTGTATGCCTTCGATATGTTCCTGCTGTCTGCGTAGTGCGTCTGCCTTCGCCCGCATGTGTAGTATTGTGTACTTTCGTGGCTTCCCAATTTCATGCTTCGGTTGTCGTAAACGTCGATAATCATCATCACGGACTCGTGAATGCCCCTTTTCTCTCCGAGCTCAAGTTTGATGGACCCTTTGTAAAAAAGTGACAAGCCGCCGCTTAGACGGCATCCAAAGTAAAACGCGTGCACCTAATGAGGAAAAAAAAAAGTTGTTTACAAACTCCGACTACGTATCCTATGCACCAGATATGTTGTTCGTCGTGCTTATATATCAATAGAGGAACTAATAAAGGCCCTCTTGTAATTGTCAAGTGGTTGTTTCATTGTTTATACCAATGACGTAGCAGTCTACTCTGTAGGACCATCTACGTGAGTTTCTATCTTGTAAAGTACCAATGTAAGTAGACAAACAATGAAAAACTACGCAACAACCAAATTATAATATAAAAGCATGAATGAAAATGGTGAATGAGACGAGACAGTGACGGGTGAAGACACACCTGCCGGGGCAGGTAAGTAGTTTATGGATATGAAGGTCGAGAATTGTTTTAGTTGAAGAACGAAATATGCATTCGGCTGTCTAAAACTGGGGAAAGGGTGGTACTTCTCCCCTCCCCCCTGGCAGACCAGTGATTATGGGAGACCCCTGAGCCTTATGCGTGCGTTTACAAGCAATATTCAACAATTAGGAGAACTATGTGCGCTGCTATGAGGAATCCGTATACAGCTGTCCTAAACTCAAGCGTGTATAGAAAAAAAACGTCACAGTTTCCTCGAACAATGGATGCGATAGCAAGGAACTGAAGTGGCTTCACCTCGGTGGTCTAGTGCATGACTAAGGTACTCGGCTGCTGACCCGCGGGTCGCGACATTGAATCTCGTCGGTGGCAGTTGCTGCGTTTTCAATAGAGGCGAGAATGCTGTGCGCCTGTGTGGTCAGATTTAGGTGCACGCAAAAGAACCCCAGGTGTTCCGAATTTTCGGATCCCTCCACTACAGTATTTCTCATAATCATGTGGTAGTTTTGGGACGTTAAACCCACATAAGAATTAGGAATGGAAATTCAACGCGAAGAAGGACACACAGTTCGATACTTCTAGCGCGCCGCTGGAGCACGAAGAAGGATGCTCGACAAGATTGCGCAGATGTACACAGAAGAAGCGTGAACTAACAAATGTCGCAGTTGTTTTGTCTCCTTGTTTTAGAAAGAGGAGGAGGAAGAAACTTTATTCTATGAAAGAAGAAAGATAAGAGCAGGCAGGCTCTCAGAACAGTGCTCCACCAGAACGAGCGGCTCGCCGGGACTGGTCAAACAAAGCTATTTGGCCATGCTTGGCCTCATCCGCAAACAATGTCTCCCATGACCAGTGTGACATGTGTGGTTTATTAGCAATGAGTGGCTCTCAAGATTTGTGGGCTTCTTTGTGCACTCCGTTGTTATGTGGCTGAGTCTCGGTATATCTGAACGCCATGTATTAACGCTATGGACATGTGTCCCTAACTTGTGTGGGATATATTCTACTTAGGTGATACAAGTATGGAAAGCTATTGGTCGCCATCTGCTGCAAGTGTCGACATTGCAGAACGCTGTGCTCCGAGATATTAAATGCGAAGCATTTCTTAGCCAAATTCGGTGACATTGAGCGTATCTATCTATCTATCTTGCCGCTTACATTTGGGTGTTCTCACGGTCACACTTTAACTTGGCGTGAACCAAAATTAGCATGGTAAGGTAGCATGGTTTGACGAATATGACGCACTAGTCAACACATGAATAATTGCACAATCCTGTCGCGTACGTCGTCAAACACTTCCCACCAGACGGTAGCACATACCCACGGGTGGGTATGTCCCGTTTGTATACGGGTATGTGCCACAGGTGATTCAGACTTATAGTATATACCCAGGAACGCCGAGAACACACATGATCAGTTTTAACGCGTGAGAGTTAAGAATTATCCGACGTCGGTAGCGTCGACCCGAAAAAATGCAAATAATAAATGCTAGGGCCCCAACTGGAATCGAACTCAAGCATTCTGCGTGGCAATGGAGCATTCTACCACAGAGCTATGTCAAGGCTCAGAACTACTTTGCAATAGACGCTGATCTTCGCGAAACGTACATATTGGTTTCAATGCTGCCTACCCAATTT